ACTATGCCCCGACAAATCACTTCCATTTTCCCTCAACAAACTTCACCATTTGCTCACAACTCTGTGAGCAAAGTCTGACTTTAATGTCAGAGTCAAGAAAATGGTCACTGATTAAAGAAAGACACAACCATGTAGGGGGACAGAGCAGACATACGTAAGACAGTGTTTAGAAAGAGACAGAATTCACTTTTTTAGTTTATACTATTAGCAGAACAAATGTACTGAATCACAAAGCCCATGAGGTTGTGGCACCAGTGTCCTGTGGAGGTAGCTGTCTTCAGCAGGACCAAGAAAAGTGGTCAGAGCTGTTGGGAAGATGGATGCAGTTAAAAAGACCAATTGTAGAAACAATTACAACAACAAGTAGCAACAATCTTTCAGTCTGACTTACTGATTACTCCCAAAACAGTTAATACCTACAACTCTTTTGAACATTTAACCCTTAATTTCCCTGATCCAAATTTCAAAGCAAGAAAACCTCTTCTTTTTGTAACTTTGTATCGTCCACCAGGTCCTTACTCTGAATTTTTAGGTGAGTTTTCAGACTTCCTTTCTGATTTGGTATTAAATACTGACAGGGTCATCATAGCGGGATATTTTAACATCCATGCTGACATTGAAGGCGATAGCTTAAGAGCAGCCTTTAATGCTATCTTAGACACTATTGGCTTTGTTCAAATGTAAATAGTCCCACACATTCTCATCTTCATACTTTGGATCTTGTGCTGACATAGGACATAGAATGTGCAGAAATAACAGTATTTCCTCACAACCCTGTCCTTTCTGACCACTTTCTATTAACCTTCAGGATTACTTTAACAGAGTTCTCCTCCCCCAAAAGAAGGTTCAATTTTAGTAGATCTTTATCAGATAGTGCAGTTATACATTTTAAAGAATCTGCTTCACTTTCTCTTTCCTCTGTGTCGCTGAGCAGTGCTGCACAGTGCAAAAGCTTAGCTTATTCCCCTTTACAGGTTGATGATTTTGTTGATGGGGTTGCTAGTTCTCTGCGTACTGCCTTAGACAACGCAGCTCCTTTGAAAATAAAAATCGTTAAAAATAGAAAGCTTGCTCCTTGGTTTAATGCAGAGCTGCGCACTTTGAAGCAAAATGCTAGGAAACTGGAGAGAAAATATCGCTCCACAGGCCTGCGGGAGTCCTTCCTAGTCTGGAAAAAACAGTTTACTGCTGTATAAAAGGACCCTTTGTAAAGCAAGAGCAGCATACTTCTCCTCATTAATAGAGGAGAATAAGAATAATCCTAGATTTCTTTTTAATACAGTTGCCAAATTCACCCAGAGCCATAGCTCTGTTGAACCGTCCATTCCACCTGCTCTTAGCAGCAATGATTTTATGGGATTCTTTATAAATAAGATTGATCTTATTAAAAATAAGATCATAAGCACTCCTCTATCCGCGATTGTAGCTTAGGTAGTCATGGAATCTGAACCGGGTTTAGACTGCTTTGATCCAGTTGAACTTTCTGAGTAAGCAAAATTATTGTCTTCATCTAGGCCTTCAACTTGTATGTTAGATCCTGTTCCAACCAGGTTATTTAAGAAGGTATACCCTTTGTTCTCCTCCTCTATATTAGATGTGATTAATCTATCTCTGTTACAGGGATATGTACCTAAGGCTTTTAAGGTTGCTGTAATTAAACCTCTGCTTAAGAAACCGTTTCTTGACCCAGATGACTTGGTCAATTATAGACCTATATCCAATCTTCCTTTCTTATCTAAAATTCTTGAGAAAGTAGTTGCCAAACAAGTTTGCGATCACTTACACCATAATGAACTTTTGAAGAGCTTTAGAGCTTTAAAGCTTATCATAGCACTGAAACAGCTCTGGTGAAAGTCACTAATGATATTCTCATGGCCTCAGATAATGGACTTGTATCTGTGCTCGTCCTGTTGGATCTCAGTGCCGATTTGATAGAGTTGACCATAATATTCTTGTAGAAAGACTTGAATATATTGTTGGAATTAAAGGAACAGCGCTAGACTGGTTTAAGTCTTATCTATCTGATCAAATTCAGTTTGTTCATGTTAATGATAGATCTTCAACATGCTCAAGGGTTACCTGTGGAGTACCACAGGGATCAGTGCTCGGACCAATTCTCTTTACTTTATACATGTTCCCAATCGGTAGAATTATTAGACAGCATGGGATTAATTTTCACTGTTATGCTGATGATACCCAGCTATATCTATCTATAAATCCAGATAATGCTAACCCATAACATAAATTAAAGGCATGTCTTGAAGACATAAAAACCTGGATGACTCTAAACGTTCTCCTTCTGAATGCAGACAAAACAGAAGTTATAGTCTTTGGACCAGAGTCTTTGAAAAAGAAGCTCATTAGTCAGTCACTTCATTTGGATGGGATTAAACTGATTTCAGATAATAAAGTAAAAAATGTTGATGTTGTTTTTAAACAGGACCTGTCATTTAAATCCCATATCAAAGAGGTTTCTAGAATTTCCTTCTTTCATCTGCGGAATATTGCAAAAATTAGAAAATATCCTGTCCAGGAGTGATGCTGAGAAACTAGTCCATGCATTTGTTACTTCAAGGCTGGACTATTGTAATTCTTTACTAACAGGAAGTCCACAAACTGTAGTTAAAAGCCTTCAGCTGATCCAAAATGCTGCAGCCAGAGTTCTGATGAAAATTAAAAAGAGAGATCATATCTCTCCTATCCTGGCTTCTGTTCATTGGCTTCCAGTTAAATCCAGAATAGAATTTAAAATCATCCTCCTCACATATAAAGCCTTAAATGGCCAAGCTCCATCTTATATCACAGATCTGATTGTTCCTTATGTTCCAAGCAGAGCACTTCGCTCTCAATTTGCAGGTTCACTAGTGGTTCCTAGAATTTCTAAAAGTAGAATGGGAGGCAGATCTTTTAGTTATCAGGCTCCTCTCCTGTGGAACCAACTACCAGTTTTAGTCCGTGAGGCAGACACCCTGTCTACTTTTAAGGCTAGGCTTAAAACTTTCCTTTTTGATAAAGCTTATAGTTAGAGTGGCTCAGGTTATCCTGAGCTATCTCTATAGTTATGCTGCTATAGGTTTAGACTTTTGGAGGACATAGGGACCCCCATTTCATCATTCTGCTTCAGAATCTGTTAGTTTAATCTCTAACGTTCTGCTCTTTCTGCTTTTCCTCAGAGTAGCTTTGCCTCATCTGTTCCTGTTTGGCTGTGACGCCATCCTGGAGAGAAACATCAGCTGTGCTGCTTCCATCAACACCCTTGTTTATAGATGCTGGAGATCGGCCTGTTTTCCAGTGCGGTCCTGTTTCTCTGACCGTGACTGACTGGATGTGCTCTCTTTGTCCTCTGGCATGGGAGCTGGCTCGGAGCTTGTCTGCCTGGCTGTGTGTTTCCTGAACGGGGCTGCCTTTTGCAGCTGCTTTTGGTATATCTGCTTCTGTCTCCTTGAACCCCAGTCGGCCTCGGCAGATGGCCGCACACGCTGAGCCTGGTTCTGCTGGAGGTTTCCTTCTGTTAAAAGGGAGTTTTTCCTCTCCACTGTAGCTACAAGCATGCTTAGTGTGAGGGATTGTATTTGAGCCAATGAGTCAATGCAATCAACTGGTTTTCCTTAGATAGAAAACTTTGAATCAATTTGACTGTATGATCTGGTTGAACTGTAAAGTGCCTTGAGATGACGTGTTGTGAATTTGGCGCTATATAAATAAACTAAATTGAATAGAAGAAAACCTGTTTTGCAAAAAACAAAGAAAAAACAACAAACTTAAGTGTGGATCAGAGACTCACCTTCCAAGAGGATAACAATTCTGAAATACGATGTAATTGTTTAAATTGGGGCTATACAGACTTTACAAACATAAAAAAATAAATCAAACAAGATTAATTTTCTTTGAACCCAATAAATACATTTTCCCTGGAAAATCTACAGAACCCTTGTTAAAAAAGACCCCAACTTTTAAAAGCACTAACACTATATAATATTGGATAAACCTGGTGTCACGGTCTTGGTTCTGTTAATTGTTCTTTGAGTTTTCAGTTTCACGTTGATCCATGTTTTCTAGTTTAACTTATTAACTAATTTATTTAATTCCTATTTTGTGTTGCCCTCTTGTGTTGGTCTCATTTTCGCTTAGCTCCCTTCTAGAATCCTCTGTTCACACCTGCTTCTAATCAGCTCATTAGTCCTGTCTTTGTTCAGTCTCCCATAAATACTCTCCCTGTGCAGTTCCTCAGTGCTGTTTCCTTATTTTTCCCTGGCTCCTTTTGCATGTTTTCCCTGATGTCTCCATAGTTCTGGTTTGTTCTGTATTTTTATGTAGGATTTTGGATTCCTGCCTCCGTTGCTCACCTCTGCCTCCTTGCCTTTGCATTTGGATCCTCAAAACCTCAACCAAACCCTGACACCGGGCTTATCCTTAAATGAGGTTGTCATGATAATGAGTAGAGATTTCATTATTACACCAATGCATAAATAAACAGTGTTCAAATGTTTCTGAACTGGGTGTGTGTGTTCCTGTCTAGGCAAGAGATTTAGAATTTTTTTTTTTTTTTCGATTTCACCATCACACTGAGAAGCAGTTGTTGTAAAGTGAGGATATTTTGCTGGTCCTTTTTTGGTAACAGCTAGGATTAGGGCTAAGATATCAGGTGTCAAGTGTTTATTGAAAATAAGGAAAGAAGAAGAAGGCCTAAGCAAAATTAGGTTTGTTTTCCATAGTTTTGTGATTTTTCCATCAAAAAAGTTAAATCAATTTAAATATTTCCCTTAAATATAAACAGGAATTTTTGAAACTTAAAGCTGGAATGTTTTTGTCGATGATGTTTAAAACGTCCCAACAAGGGAAAAAATTTTATGGCTTTGAAAATCCCTCAAAAGGCAAAATGCCTTTAATTAACACCTATACTATGAAATGGTACGCTTTTATGCTTGTGCTGAATAGAGTATTCAGTTATGAAGGCCAGGTAAAGTCTTTATACATTTTTAACCAGCCTGATAGAACTCTTATGTCAAATAGTTTCATCTATAACTGACCTCCACCAACTTGTTGGCATGTTCACGGAACACCTGGGCATACTCCTTGACCTCCTTCTCATTTCCACTCTTAGCCGCTTCGATGAGCACCAGAAGAGGAACGTTGGTCTCCAGGAAAGAATCTGAGATGTGGTCCATCACTGCCTTCCTTAGCTACAACAAAGAAAGAGGGACAGAGAAAAAATCATACAACTAAGAAAATATATTTTTATTGCACTAAATCATGCTATGAGAATGTATCCCTTAACAATGTAAAGACTCTAATGTAGTAATAATAGGTGGAACAGAGAATGGAGGGCATAGCAGAAGAGAAGAGATGTGAAAAAAAAGGACAGCTGTCAAAAGGCAGAGATATAAAGTGCTTGTAAGGTGATATTTTTCCCATAAAGACTTTTATAGTGGCAGACACTCTGACTTACATCTTTGTTTATGGAATAACTTTGTACCAAAGTGTTCAGGGGCTGCTTGTTTTATTAGATGGTAAATGATCCTCAGAGTCAGTAGGCAGGACATCTGGTGTGATGCCACAATGACTGTACAGAAACCCCCAATAAAGAAAGATCTCTTAGAGATTTAACACTTTTATATTTCGATTGCTGACACTCTTAAAAGGCTAAGCTTGCTAATACATTGCATTACCATAAATGGAAAGAGTCTGATAAAGTTTTTAAATCAAATAGACCCAGTGATGAAATAAGTATATCATCGTTCTTTAAGAATCAGTCCTGCATTTATAGAACTGAGAGGGCAAGGCAGCTTTTCTAAGGCATGTAAACATAGTAAACCACACGGCTTTTAATCATTCTCTTTACACTTTAAGATCAAAGATTTGAAGAGAAATGTGTTAGATACAAATGATACAATGATAAAACTGTGGGATTTCTTTAATGTGAATATTGTAACCCTTATATCAAGCTGGGAAAAGGCACATTAGTGTAAATGCATCTTGTGATGGTTAAACTAGATAAAAAGATCTAGAACTTGGAGCAAATAGAAATCTTATATTACCGGAGTTTTCTTTTAACTGTGTTATTGGTAATGCAGAATGTGATTGCAGGATGCTCTAGCTTGGGACAGGTCTAAACAATGTGTGTGCAACTGTGGCCATGTTTTTTTTTATTTTTTATTTTAACCTGTGGGGACAATTTCCCAGTAATATGCTACATTTTGGGGACTTATAAGTACTTGTGGGGACCAACGACTGGTCTTTAATGCTTTGACAATAATATGACAGGGAATGACTATCCTTCATAATACTTATTCCAATGAAAGCAATTTAATTGGATGTAATTGCTTTCATTCAAGACCTGTCTATAATTCTCAATGTCAAGGGTTTGTTGACCTCTGCCGTATGTCTTCCCTGCTCTCTCTCAATTCCAGTTCTGGTCAGACTACTCTCAGAAATAATGTAATTATAGGCCACTAGTGCTTAAAAAAAAGGATGATAATAAATACATCCCTAAAAAGTAAAAAAACAAAAACAAACACTACACTGGACTTTGTTTCTAAGTTTGAAAACGTTTTGCTTCCCATCCAGGGAGCTTTTTCAATATAAAATGTCAGAAATAGCATAGAGTTTGAGGCGTAATGGATTGGACCAAAGATAAAGCCTCGTTTTGGCTTAGAAATCATGCAAATTGAACTGAACAAATGTGTCCACCCCTTTGGAATTGGTGTTATTTGGGTTCTTTGTAAGCCTGCAATACCCGATACCTGGCTATGTCTCTGAAAATGGGGGCATTGGAGGGAATTGTTGATGTTTCTGAACAGTCAAGGTTTTCTGTTCCCTTGTAAGGGGGTGGGGATTACGATGATAGCGGGACATCTTTGGAGAGATGTCTAACTAATTTATTGTCACTACACTGTCATAAATTCAGAGCAACGAAATTAACTCTCTGCATCCAACCCATCCCCTTGATAAGAAGTGGGCTGCCATGGTGGAGTTGAACTCAAAACCCCTGGAGTCCCTCCCAAGCGCTATGCCCTAACCACTAGGCCGCGACTCCCCAGCAACTTATCCAAGGGGCATAAGATAGATGCTTAAACCTTATATTTGTTTCCAAAGAAATAAAAACAGAATATGTTAGCGTGATCAAAACTATTCTGCCAATAGTTTTAACCCCCTGTATCTTGAACATTTAAAAAAAACTGAAGTTTCAAAAGTTTTTAAAGTTTCAAAACAGAAGACCAGATGCCATGTGCCATGTTTGTGCACATTTTCCTAAAATAGCACATAAAAATAGGATTTTCCAGAAAAGTACATATTGCAGTCCCAAATAGTCATGAATACCCAATGCTAAAACTGATTCCAATAGTGGATTTGAGTGGAAAGATGATACAGACAAGTGATTTCCCAAGTTGCAGTCTCTCCTGCACCATCAGCATTCTAATGCTCACACACCAGTCCCACAGAAATCCATCTTCAATATTTCAGATCTCGCCCCCCTAAATACTCCCCTCCCACTGTCTGTCCTCTAACACTATCTCTGTATTTCACCAACACTTAAAGGAAATAGAACAGGAATTCCAATAAATAGCACAGCCCTGCTCATTATAGGTTTGTGGGGAAGCTATTTGTCTCAATAGTCTAGTTTTCCATAAAGGCTTATGCTTTTATAGTTGTGCCTTTTGTTTGGTAGAAACATTTTAACAGATAAATCTTGCAGGTGTTGTGTGCTTTCTTTTTTATGTACCACCGATGTTCCGTTAAACATAATGTTAGAGCCATCAACTTGGCCAAAACCTTCTTATATTTTAGTTCATAACTTACTGAAATGTCTTCTCTCACACAGCAACACTGACTATTCTATTTTCACAAGAGAGCTGTAATCTCACTAAGAACATTTTAGAGTTGAATGTATCTGAACATTATTTTCTAACTGGTACTTATTGCTTAAAGACAGCAATTTAGCTCCCTGTTTTATTGATAGAGGAATACTTTTCCAGTAAGATTTTAGTTTCTCTTGACTTGTTAACCTCAGTGTAGAGGGTTAAATACAACTTAACATGTCAAAATCGACAATGTGGGTTCATTGTCTTTTTAGGTGTGACAACATGTCATTCCTCACAAAAATTTTGACTTGTGTGTTTGTCTTCTTCTGTCAGAAGCAACATTTGCAAAATGTTATTTAAAAAGAAAAAAGCTATGCAGGTGTGCATAGAATAATGCAGAGAGAAGGCAGACAATCTTTAACATTTAAACCCAAACAAAAGAAAATGACTGAACTTAGATTTTGTCTTTATAAAAAAACTCAAAATATAAAATTAACAGCCACCAATATCATGCAACATCCATTTCAGAGCCTGTAAAGGGACATTGGGAGGGTCACCTGGAAGAGCACCAAAAGACCATGTTGTAAGACGAATGATAAAATTCAAGATTATGTCTTCATACATTTCTATGAAGTGCCTAAAATGTTAAATAAAAACTAAATCTATCTGTGTGGACTCAATGGACACATTATGTCAGTATAGAAATCCTTTTCTGACAGGCCTCAGAGGCACCAGCACCTTTAAGCAAGAAGCATCAATTCATAAAGACCCAGGGGTTCTCCAGACAAGTCAGGGACAAAGTTGAAAAGTATATGTAAAAAAAAAATATATATATATCCAAATCTTTGATGTTTCTCTGGAACGAATCCATCACCTCCAAAGTGAAAGCACATTGTAGCACAACAGGTCTGCCGAGAGAGCTGCCCATCCTAACTCACAGACGGGGCAAAGCGTACATTAATCAGAGAGTCAGCAAGGACCACAGTTTACCGTGAAGGAGGTGCAGAGTTCTACAGTGAGATTGGAGTATCGGGCAATAGCATAAGAAGACGCCTCAGACTGCCTAAATCTAGGCTTCATGTATGAGTGTAGGGGATAATAAAAGCGATTACTCAGGGTCAGAAATATGTTATGAATTTGACAAATGACATTTTGGAAATTCTCTAAAAATATGGAGAGATGTGCTTTCTTACTTTTCAGGAAAAAGATCATCAACACTCTGCACTGTGAAACATAATGGTGGAAGAATCATGCTTGAGGGATATTGTTTCAGCAGCAGCCAAAGGGAAACTGGACGGAGCTGACACAAAGATTAAATTTACCTAATAGAGATATTCCTGAGCATAACTTGCTTTGTTCTGCCTGACTTAAGACTAACAAATATGTAGCCCTTGCAACAAGACAATTACTCAAGCAAACTTCCAAAGCAACACTCAAGTAACCTGACAACAGCCAGATGCATGTCTCACTCCGCCTAGCTCCGCTCACATACATCTGGGAACCCGCCATAGGAATTGCCTTTACTGAAGGCTGGGCCTTATCAAAACTCCTTGCATATGATTGGATAAGCCACTTGTCTGTCATCTTTATTGACGTGCTATTTCAACCACTCACACCGAAGCTAACCCGTGACGCTGTGAGAGGAGGAGCCATTTGGTAGATCAAGCTCTTGCCAAATCCGGTCGGGAGAAGGGCGAAAACATCGTTTCCACCAACAAAAGCCTTCAAAGCCGTTCTCTGATGTTCTTTTAATTAAACAATATCAGATAGATTGGACAACATAGAAGAAATAGCAGCATCAATGCTAACGCTTGCTTCCTCAATGCGAGCCGCCATTGTTGTTGGAATCTCACGGTCGCTTCTCCACTCCAGGACACACCCACCCTGCGTCCTGATTGGACAGACCATAAATTCGGTTGGGGAAATCACTTTCAATGAGCGGGTTCCCAGATGTATGTGAGTGGAGCTGGGCGGAGCGAGACATGCATCTGGCTGTTGTCAGGTTAACACTCAAGTGGCTTAAGGGGAAAAAAGTTAAATGCGTTTAAATTACTAAGTCAAAGTCAAGACCTCACTTCCATTGATAATCAAAAATTGGCGTAAAAAATTCAGTTGCAGGATGTGGCAGGCTGACAGAGATCTTTTCAAAGTGACTACCAACTCTAACTGCTGCAAAAGAGGGCTCTTTAAACTACTGACTGAGAGGTTGTTGTGATCTCTTTAGATTTTATACCATTTGCTGTTTGCTCATCAATAAAAAAAACAATACATCTTGGAAATTGTAGGCAGGTTATGTACATTTTATTTCCAGTTAGTGAGAGAAAAATACCAAAACATTAAAATATGACATTCTTGCATGCAACTGTAATTGTATTTTAAAA